CAGAATCCATCTGAGGGAAGGTCTTCCCCTCTGATTTATTCTGATGAGGCTGCATGCTCTCTGTAAACTGATCCATCACAGCTGAACTGCACATTTGGAAGCATGACAACAATAAATGGATACGACACACCAACACAAACTGTTTGTTTTTTAATAAATACAGTACATGTTTTCTTGTGAATGCAAAGACACACAAACAGCAAAGACACTCACACACAATGAAACACAAGTACCAAGTGATTTAAAATGAAGTGTGGATGGTGGCCATCCAAAAGTAAAAATAATACTTAACATCATCAATCATGCAAATGAACCATGTGCACTAACTTTCTACGACACACACACATGCAGAAACGCACAAAAAGCCATGTAACTGATTCCACAGGAGCTTTGAGCACTGCGGATAATTGGTAGCACTATTGTGCTGCTCTTCAATGGGCCGGTTACCCAAGAAGCCTCATGTTCGTGTTCATGTACATTTGCTTTGAAGGTGGTGGACACAAAGAGGTGAACCCTGCCCAGAACAAAGCGCTGGGAGACCCTGCTTCACCCATGGATGTCTTTCATGGAGAGAACCACAGAGATAAATGATCTTCTTCCTTGTTACAGTGTGTATAAAATGTGTGTGATTTTTGTTCATGTGTTTGTGTGCAGGTATGCTCGAAAAGGCAGCTTGTCATCACATAAGCCACAGGATGTGTTTTGTCAAAATAATCCAACACCTCTTCTTTTGAGGATGTAAAGCCCTGAGCTATTGGACTCCAAAATATTGGAGGGCGGTGGGGTGGGGGGTCGTGCCTGTGCAATCACCTTTTTTAATATTATGTCACCACAAGGCTTTTTTTTATATTAATCATTGTTGAAAAGATGGAACCAGAAGTCATAATGCTGGTCGTGGCATTGCACCTTTTGATATTTTTTGCCACAGGGCTATTTACCATGCTAATGTGTAACTACAACAAAGAAATTCATGAAATGAAAACATGAGCTAAAACTTAATGTGTCTTCTACCTGAGTTGCACACACCATTATTACATAGTTTTTTTGCACCTGATGCACTTTTCAGAAAATAACCTATCAAACTTTTCTGTAATATAAGTGTTAGAAATATCCATTTCACACATTATTAATACAGATGAGTAAATATAGTTTAAATTTAAATCCAAGACACACTTGTGCAAATTATGTTATTTATTCCTGGTCTGTTTATTCTAAAGTAACAAACTTGTCATTATGACTTCTGTGACTGTGTGCCAGTTCTTCCACTGAAGATCATTAGGAACTGATAACACAACATAGTTGGAGCATGTCATGCAACAGGTGGTCCTTGCGTCACAGCTGCACTGTGCACTTGCGCGTTCACTATACGTTACGCTACGGTACAGGATAATACTGGCCTGCACTGGGTAATGAAGGGGAGACTTTAAGGCTAATTTAAGGGTAACATTAAACAAAAGGGGTAACTATAGCAACAGTGAGCTGACCTGAATGGAAATGGACTAATCTTGAAATGATCAGTCTCCCATTAGTTCCTGGAACAACCCAGCACGCTCCAAGTTGTTGTTGTTTCCTTTTACTCCTCTTGTTTTTCTGTCTCTTTATCTGCTCGTGATATCTTCACTCAGCACCCTCTCCCTCTCCTCTCCCTCTCTTTGGGACAGCAGATGGAAACTATGGCCCAGATCTGCCTTTTGTTCCGGGTCCCCAGAGAGACCTTTTTTGGACACCATACAGCTCAGCTCCTCATATCTCATACAAAATGCAAGTGCCGGTCTTTTCATTAAAGTGTAAGCTGAGGAATGCCCATTTTTTTCAAATACAATTATTAAAATGAGCCTATACTGGGTTTAAAACATGTTTAATACACCTTCTCGAAGGTTAACCCTCATTAACTTAATATCAAAACTTGGAGAAACAAAATGAAATTAGATAAACAAATTAACAGTAAACTTTAAATTGTATCAATTCAGTTTGTGGAAATACTTGTTTGATGTTTTGCAAAAGAGGGGGATTTGTCTTTGAAAAATATATAGAAAAAAAGTAAGGACTGAGCTGAGGGGTAAACCATAGAGGAAAATTTTAGGGGAAAAGAAAAAAGAGAGGGAAAAAAAACTCTACATACCGCCAACGTTTCTACACGGCATGGAAAGTCTCAGGTTCCCCTACAACCTGTTGTTATTTTTCATAACACGTAAATAATTAACGTGGAGTGACAGTGACACTTCAACGTACCCGGGATCCCACCTGTTATAGAGTTTTTTTTTGTTTTGCCCTACCTTTACAGGTTATACAACGAATATAACCGTTGTTTCAGTATACATTTCAAGCCAGCTTAATGGCATTTTAATACAAATAGATAGCCTATATTATTGTCTTTTACTAAATACAAGCTGATACAGATCTTCCCAGTAAAACGCTCCATCATCATGCCACGTCTCTTTTTTGCAATGACACCTAAACTAAACATATACAAAGAAAATAAACACGGTGATTATTTCCTTGTCACCCACATTTGATGGTCTGACATTTGCCTGACACACTTGAATGCTTTAACAACACGCACACGCTCTGTTTTTAAGTCGAAAACATTCAGTCTCCCTCAGAATGCATGAATAATATTAACTCCAGTTTAGGATCATTTTTAATATGAAGTCAAATCTTGGCACATTTCAGTGAACACAGTCAAACATTTGGAAAATTGTATTGATACTTATTTCTAAAACGTTTAACTAAGATCTTATCTTATCTTAGCTGGAATTATTTATCATTTTCTAACAACATTGCTGGTTCCACGCAGAAGCCCACGTGTTTACTGAAACTTGATCTTCTTTCACTGCAAAACCACCTTGCTACAGAGAATGGTCTGATCATATTCAAATGCAGCTCTACCTGCATCGTTCTGTTAATAATTTAACACAACATCCTTATTATATTCCCCTTTAATACCGTCCATCATGAGGCGAGCGAGAGGGCATGGATTGTGATTGGCTGATATCAGAGAGTTGGAGACGGAGACGCGACTGGTAGCAAACAGGTTGCGCACGTTCATAAATTATTTGTAAGTGTTTTACTTTTCCGTAGCACGCACCTTTCTCCTCATTGTTTTTGAAAGCTTGTATGTCACAAATTGTCTGAGGAAAAAAACACAATTGCCAGCCTGTTTGTGCGTGCGTGCGAGCTCGTTTTTTTTTAGAGAAAGATAATGGAGAACTACGTAAGGGCGATGAGATATAGCCTACGTGTGTGTGTCTGAGAGAGAGTGTGTGTGCAGCCCTTTCTTTAGTTGAGAAAGTGTGTTCACTCTCGAGTCAGGTCCTAGGGGACGTGGTGGGGACCCGCGAGCGCTCACCAGCTGACAGCTCGTGCTCCAGTGAGGCCATCCAACACCTCGGCCCACGAGCCAGTTAACAATAGGCTGAAATTAATGCACACTCCCCATTAACAAATCCAGCATTCACCGAATGGACGACATGGCATCGGCACAGGGAGGGGAAAAAAGACCTCCTCGACGGTGCGTAAAACAGGACAGACAGAAACAATGCAGAGTTTTTTTTTTCCCCCCCAGAAACTTTTGCCAGCCACATAAACGAGCGTGTGACGTGCACGTCTCAGGCTCTTGTCAGTGTACGGTGAATCGGCACAGACAAAAGTAAATCGAATGGAGAAATGCGTTTTACGAAGAGACAATGGCTGGAGGTTTGAAGTAGTCTTCAGATGTTATATCCCCCACTCTCTGCTCCACTGGCTTTACTTAAGGACATTTGACTTGGCTATGCTTTAAACAGAGCATTTCCAAAACGAAATGCTGCCTTTGATGCACATTTCGTTGAGTTATAGCCTCTACAAAGCAGCTGCGTAAAATGACTTTTAACTTCATGTTACTGGTTGCAAAAGTTTACACTCTGCAAACTTATGATGTTGTTAATGACTACATGTTCTCAATAACTTCAGGGTATATCAGCAATTTCCTCCTGGATAAATAAAGCTTCTTTGATATAAAATAAGTATTATAATAATTATTAGTGGTATTAGTAGCTGTATCTTCGAAGGAAATAAATGATAAGAATGAAAACTCATCAAAGCTGATTGTCTTTTCTATGGTATGAAGATTTATGGAAACCACACAGACAAAGAAGTTATATTTCTTTAGATTTTTATTCTCAAAATCGAGTTAAAAAAAGAGTGGCAAAGTGATTTAATTTTTTTTCCAGCAAATTTAGTTATAAAAGCGACACAAGAGAAACATGTCAGTAATAAATACATCTCATACATCAATTCATTGCAATCAGTGAAAGAAACACACAAGCTCAAATGCTGATAAAAAAAAAAAAATTAAAAAAGAAGGCAGCAATGATGGCTACATTATAAAGGCTAATTGAAAGGAGTTGGCAGTACTTGAGCAGACAAAGCGGAACTATATCGTTTATGATCTGGGGAGCAAAAATTGCTATTCTGAAGCCTCTGGCCCGGTTGTCTTAAAGTGCACATCATGAACTTTTTAAAGTTGCAAAATAAAATACATGACACAAACAAACGATCAATTCAATACACAGCTATCGCATCAAACTCAAATCAGAGCTACAAAAAAATTGGTCTTGACCTAGGCCTGATTAAATATAGCTAAAAGCTTTGTCCAGGTTTTGTGGAAGACAGCTTTTTTTGGATGGGGAGACGTGGGAAATACCCGTGGCAGTGCTATGCGCGGCATGGCAGAGGGGTCTTTAGGCCACGTCTCCATGAAAACTACAAATGATCGGATGTACATTAATTGGCAGATCCAAATGAGTTCAATCTCACGTAGAAAAATAACGACGTCAAAAGTTGAGAACATTTTAATGGTTTGACATTTTGAGGGCTCTCTCAAATGAACGAAAAACGAATCTTCCCTAAAACATGAGAGGTCGTAAATATGATTGACACGGTTTGAGGACATGAGGCCTATTTTGTCTTATATAGGCTGCGGTGAAGCGTTTTAATGTTTAGAGTCTCAGACGTTTTTTTTAGAAAGAAACGGTGCGATGATGATGATGATGGAGATGGCGAGTTTGAAGTTTGAGTTCCGTGAGATCGTCTTCTTCGCTCGAGTGGAGCTCCATCACCATTTCATCCGAGTCGCTGAAGTGGGAGTGCGGAGAAAACTCTCCGTCGCTTCGGGGTGACTCTTTCCTTCCGCTCACGAACTGTGAAGCAGCTGCCCGAGAGGAGGACGCGGGGGATTTTTCTACTCTGGGGGGGAATGAACTGTCTCCAAACGAGGCTGGGAAAGGCATACCGCTGATGTGGACTGGTAAGCTGCCCCCCGAATGGGGCTCGACCGTCTCTGTCCTGCAGGAGTTTGGGGACTGGGGAGCCCTGTCCTGACCACCGGCAGGTGAAAGCATCACGTCACACTTTGGCGAATCGCTGTTATTACTGGACTTGTCGTTATTGCCGCTGTTGGAGGAGACCGGACCTTGGAGCAGATCGGCCAGAGCGTTGATGTAAATCTGCGCCATTTGCAGAGTTTCGTACTTGGAGAGTTTCTTGTCGTTGTCAAACGCCGGTATGACGCTGCGCAGCTCGTCGAACGCGTGGTTGAGCCCGTGCATGCGCCTTCTCTCCCGCGCGTTGGCGGCCACCCGCCTCTGCTTCTGGACCCCGTTGACGGGTTTGCTGGACGGGGCTCTCTGTCTCAGGGAAGTCTCCTCATCGGACCCTGTGGTCGTACCTTTCAGACGGCACAGGTCCCTGACTTTGAGCGAGGAGGTGGTGGGGGTCTTGGCAGATTTTCTGAGGCTGGGAGGGCTGGGATGGCCTGAAGACCCTGGAGACCCACTCTCTGAAAAAAAGAATAAATAATTATTGACAGAACTATTAAAATGCTCATTCAATTGTGTTCATGGTCAACGCAAAGTAAAGTTCTTTAAAATGAAAGTGAAATATGACATTCAGTTTAAACTTGGATAGCATAAATCATGAGCTGATTCCTGATGTGTCTCGCTTGTGTCAGTGGAATGCTGTCCGTGGTGAGGGTGGGCTCCTCACCGTGGTAGGATTCGCTGCTGGGACATGGCGAGTGCCGCAGGTAGTCGGGTGAAGTGGCGTGTGCCGCGCAGGTGCCAGGAGCCGGAGCCAGCCAGGCGCGTGGGTCACTGCCTCCGTCCACGAGCGTCAGTCCAGGATCGTAGCGGGACTCCTCAAAGTGCTGCTGCTGCCTCTCTCCCCTCTGCGCCTCTCCGGGGCTGCTGCAACTCTGCTGTGCGTCGAAGGCAGCCACCTCCCGCGCACTTTTGCTCCAGTCTTCCACAGTTAAGATCTCCATGTGTATATAAAAATAAAAAAAAATCCGCCCAAATTATTTTTTTCTAAGATTAGGAGAAGATCTTGGTTTGCTTCTGTATGCCCAGTCGCGTGCGGGACTCCTTCTCTGGTGTCTCAAGGCGCCGCGTCGGTTTAAAAAGCGGCACGCGCCTGGAAGCCCCCCTCCTCACGCCGGTCGCGTGTTGACGTCCAATGAGATGCCTCGGTAAAACTCGAGAGAAGTGATTATTGCTCCCTGAAGCAGGGGTGTTTATGATTATGTTACGATTTAGGGAGTGTTTAACGCAAAGGGGGGAAAATGGGAGCCTCCCACAGGACGCACGTGCGTGCGACAGACGTGCGTAAAAGGGACAGAGTATACCCACCTGAGCTGTCACTGCATCTGTGTTGAATATCGGCGTGAATGTGGGGAGAATGTGGTTCAAAAGGGTTATTAACCATCTTCAGCTATATTCTGTATCTCACTGTTAGCAATAAAACCCCAACTTTGAAGAGATAGGCTATGACAGGAAAAAAAATGCGCAAAGCTTTAACAAATACAGTCTTTTAAAACAAACAATTGCTGAATTATGTTGTTTATTGGGTATTCTTTTTAGTTTGAGTAATCAAATGTTGATTTTTAAACTTTGGCACGGGACACATGACTGAAGATAGCTGAGTGAAGTCTTTAGACCCCCCACAGTAAAGAAAAGAGAAGAAAAAAAGTGCAGTTCCTGGGGCTCGCGCACTCATTGTCAATTCATGCATTCTACCATCATCTCTAGTTTCCATTTTTTCTTTTGTGCCAGGTCTAAAACCTTTTGATCCAGCTCTCGGAACGCCCTGTCGGCAAGAAAAGGGCTTCACAGGGAACGGAAATATGAGCCTGGGGTCTCGCGCTCAGCAGTTTCTTATTGACACGAGCTGTAAGTGGTGCTCAGCACACGAAGGCCACTTCAGCGTGCGCGGTACAGTCTCTCTCTCTCTCACCCTCTCTCTCTCTCTCTCTCTCTCTCTCTCTCTCAGACACAACAGAATATCACTGGACTGGCAGAGATTCTCTGATTCACTTTTCTTTTAACATCATGCTAGAAATATTAAAAAGAGCAGGGAAACATGTTGGGAAGGAAAAGTCTGCAGAGCTGCGAGAAAACCACCTGCTTGTCACGTGGATGCACCTGCAGTCTGTTCACGAAGGCATTCAAACTTTGGGCCACATAAATCCTACACTAATTTACGCACTAGCTTTCAACTTTAATACGCATATATAAATCCAAATGATTTGACTAAACTGTCTAACGCAGTGGCTCAGGGTGTTTCCAGCTTTTTGCATTGGACCTTAAGATAAAAAAAAGTTAATAACGATGTCTAATTATAACTACAGAAACACAACTTTGACCTAAATTAAGATTAAATTTAGCCCAAATCTTTAAGGCAGCGATCGTAAACGGCAAGTTTAAATATGGGAAGACAGTGTAGATCCTTGGGTAAGAAATGCCCAAATTTCAGGGCTAGATCGACCCCTTGTCTTTACCATTTTTTATTCATGTATTCATCGCGAGGACGTCTTGCGGGCTGGAGGTCTGGCGCCGAGCGTTTGCCCCCTCTTCCCACCTACAAGCCCCCCCTCCCCATCCAACGAGCCGAGCAGAGCTCCTGAAGCTACCGACAGGTTGGATATTGTAGCTGGTGATTATTAAAGTGTCGCGGTCACAATGGAGACTCTATGTTCCATTGGTCACGGCTGAGGGGGGGGGAGCTCCTCGAGGGACAGGGGCGGACTCCCATTCCGACGCGCGAGAGGAGTCTGCGTGCTGCTCCTTCCCATTCCCATCTCCCTGGAGACCTTGGCGCGACGGGCACGAGACTGGAGTAAGAGGAGATGGACAGGGATTTCCTAAAGTAACAATTGTCATTCTCAAATCAGCCAAAAAATCCAGATCGGACGTTGTTGTTCTGGACAAAACGCTCCTGAAACACAACTTTAGATTTTTCTGTTTCAACGTTTGCAACCGGTTACGAAGACAGAAAAATTGAGCTGAAGAAATCTGTCAGACATTATTTGACTGCTGTGCAGACCTAATAGTGGTGCAACATATGCAGTATATGACTGATCATACCTCATAGATCACACTGCTGCTCAACATCACCAAAAAACATGTGTTTTCTGGTCGTTTTTGACCGCCATCGGTCTTTGACATATCCTCCAAACTGAACTCTGTCTTTGTCGGAGGCAGAAAGACTTTGGGGATCTGTGGGAGCTAAACAGTGCCACTATCTGGTGGAAAATGCAACTACGACGTGATGCTCCAGTGAACTTGAGTTTTTTTTTTCTCATCTCAGCAGTGTCTGGGGTCTATCCAACTGTTAACAGCAGTGCACTGGCCTTTGAAGTGATAGCCAACTTATAGGGAGTAACACAAAGGCTGCTTGGATGTACAATCTTTCCACCTCATGAAATAATCTAAGGATCCATTAAAATGTTTGAGATTAGTCTCTGAGATAAAAACAAATAGATTTATTAATGCTTTGAATAGCAAAATACACAGAAAAGCTGTGCAAATTTAAATGGAACATCATCATGACAACATGGTCATTTTAAATATCTGAATAAAAAAAGGTGATGTGATTCTCAAGTCACTCAAGGATATTGAGTTTAAAAGTTCTTTTAAAATTTTTTAAAAAATGTATAACATCTATAGAAGACTTAATTGAATAATATTAACACAGAATAGAATATTCACACTGTCGTCACACCTCACATACAGAATATTATTAGCAGAAAAAAATCATATTTGGGGAAAGTTCCTCAGCTCATGTTCAATTTTCATTCTTAGGGCATCAACTTTTTGTTAATGCCCTAAGTTGGAGATAATGTTTGTTGTTAATTGTTCGAGATAATGTTTTTGTAAAGGTTTTTCTGGATCAGACAAGACACCAAATACTATCCCACTGTAGAAAACCTGTTTATTAGACAAATTATACACAGAAAGCTTTGCCACTTGTAACAGAGGCCCCAGTTTGTTCGGTTTTTGAATAATATGCAACACATACAACAAAATAGGCCTATATTAAATACTGTACATCATAGATTTTTGAAAATTATCAAGTAAATCCTGTAGTTCTATGTATGAAATTAAAAATGTTAACAGACAGCAAAATAGCAAGTTTGTGCATGCTTTCTTTTTAATAAACTTGCCTTGCTTTGTTATTTTAGCCAGCAAAAAAAAAGAAAAAAAGGAAGGAAGAAACATACTAACTCAGGATGACATGTGAAAAGAAAAAAAAGTTTATGTTTCAAACCAAAGGCAGTAATGTGACTGCTCAATGCAATACTAAAGCTCAACATGATATAGACTTCTCTTTTTGTTAAACAAAAATAGCATCAACATGTAAAATATACATTTTCAAAATGTCTCTTTCATTTATACTAAATAAAACTTTTTAAATGTATGTGTCCTATTTGTCATTCAATAGCCATACTGTAGCCTATTATAAGAAAAGAATTCCTAAGAATGCTTGCTGCAAAACACTGTGGCTTGACTGAGTTCTCTACACACAAGATTTCGCAGTTTTAGTTCTTAAAGATAACAAACTGAAAACTCGCTCTAGACGACTAACATTATCAATTATTAATACAGTGTTAGTGAAAAAAAGGTTTGGCTCCATTTTACCAACCTACCCACTGATCATAAATCTTGAATGCTCCTTATCTACGACTCCCATTCCCAATCACAAAATGCACCTTAATGGTCTCATTTGAATTAATTGGCACTTAAAAAAACAAGTTATATAAACAGTACCCTTAACATGAGAGATGTGAGATAGAACTGGATTTTGGGCTCATCTTGTTCAAGGCAGGCGTTAGGTTTTGATGGCCACTGACTCTCGGCACAACCACTGATTTGCTGTGGCTCAGAGTTTCCAGTACACGTTTGACCGGGGTTTAGGTTTTACAGCTAGCTAGTTGACATATAAGGCTAACCTAAAGATGCAGTTGCAATGCAATGGCTTCTCCTCAACTCCAAATCAGCTCCATTTTTCCACTTGAAGCTGATAAGAAGTTAGCGATGAACTTGAAGGTTATTTGACATTGCAGAGTGAGCTTCAGTCTTTTAAACACCTGGGCAATGGGAGCACTAGAGATAGGCAAAATAGATACAAATCAAAAAGAGGAAGTTTGAGTGACTTGATGACAGAAAACCAGAAACTACAGCACTTGTTAAGCAGTTTTTCAAAGTTGCTGAAAGAAAAGAAAAAAAAAAAAGAAAACAAGTAGACAGTTCAGAACATGTTATCTTTTTTTGTATTTCCTGACCAAAACACATTCCACGGAATAAAATCTTTTTTTTTTCCAGAAAACAAAACTCAATAAAAGACATATAATAAGCATAAGCTCTTTGAAGTCTTTCGGCCTGTCTTGTATATCTTTTATGCTTTCAGCTGCTTTTCCTTTTCAAAGAGTCCGCTTTTCACCATTCCTCTAAGAGTTCCAGGATCTCACCTTGACTTCAAAGCAGGTAGCACAATATAGGTGAGAAAAGTAAAGGTCAGATCTACATACAATCACTTACAGGTCTGTGGGCACTGGTACAGTGCAGAGGGTTTGACAAAGAGCTTAATGTGCATCAAAATGGTGAAAACAGTTTCAGTCTGATCCACCAAAATGGCAGAGGTGGTTTGAGATTGATGCACCACACTGGTGACTTTATAGTGATGTACTGTTGAACTGTCATTGGCATTTTTTCAGACCGATGCACCATGGAAGTGTTGGTTGCAAAGTCTTAGGTCTGGTCAGGGGTCCATGTGGCCACCATCTTGAAGAAGATTCCACATTTATAACACAATTCATTGGTGAAACATCTGAAGAAAAAAACTATATCCCTCTCCAGTTATACTGGGTAAGAATGATCCTTAGTATTCACCGAGAAAGGCCCTTTTCAAAAGATTAGAAGGCTCTTCCGTATGGTGCTGGACAATCTATATGTAATCAAGTCTGGTTTATGCCTTGATTAAATACCT